TCAAAGATGTGGAACATTTAGAAGATTTAGGGCATTGGAAATCAAAGTAGTGCAGTGGAAGCATGGGTGACTCAGAATCTGCAAATTGTAGCCCTGAATTTCAAGAGTAATGAAATAAATGTCTAAAACACTTCTAAGAACTAAAAAATTGAGCTTGGAGTGTCTTGCATGATTTTCAATGACAGTTCAAGTATACTCGTACTTGATAAATTTACATTGATTCCTCAATACATATATGAAGATCCTTTCCTTAAAGGATTTCTTCTTACCACGAATAATCTTTGAGCCAATAAAGAAAAAGAAGGTTGAAAAAGGTGGTTTTGGTATTAAATGGAACTTAACGCGCTTTAAAACTAGATGACGTGTTTTCTCCAATCAGAGAAGAATGATGGAGGACAAAATTATTCTTATTTTAAATTTTTATTTAATTTTAAAAGATGTATATTTTAATTTTAGTTTTAAGATTAATTTTTAGGGTTTTTAAGTTTTCTAGCAATTCTAGGTTTATTTATTTATTTATTTATTTATTTATTTATTTATTTATTTATTATTGTTCATGGGTACGATTCATTGGTATTGTTCATGGGTATTATTCATGTGTCACTATTCACAGGCTTTTAGTATTATTTATAGGGATTTTAGAGCCTTAAATGTTTACTTGATATCACATTAATTTAGGGTTTCATAGGCTTATAAAAAGTAGGATGACACATTTTAGAAGACTAATGTTATTTGGAATGAATTTTATTTTATGAAGAAAAAAGTTATTCTTCTCTTGGCTTGATTTACAACCATGTTTTTTCTCCATTATTGTCAATTCTTTATTTAAGGTTCAGGAAGATGGTGCATTTAATTCCCCACATGTCCTTTTTGCACACAACTTATATTAATTTTTATTTTTATTTAGTTTCAATATATGTATATCCTAATTTTAGTTTGATGATTTATTGTCGGGTTTCTAAGTTTTCCAGAGATTTTAGGGTTTTTAATGTTTTATTTTTTTAGTTCACATATATTGTTCATGTTACTTTTCACAGGTAATGTTTGTGTGTTATTGTTTAGGCGTATTCTTAGAATGTTCTTTTATATGTTCTTTTTTTTTCTTTTTCTAAAGCTTATCTAATGTCTTCTTAGGTCCTACCTAAATCCCCAGCCCATAAACCCCAATGTCAATTTTTATGTTATTTTTATTTTTTAACATTCAATATCTTAAACTTTGAACGTAAGTTTATTTATTCTAAACTTCGAATGTAAGGCTACAACAAATCCTTTTCTAAGTTTGATCTGTATATGTTTTAGCATACTAAATTGATTATGTTTATCATGCCCATATCGTAGCATGTCCTATGGTTTCAACACGCCAGATAGGACACCCATACCCACATTTGTGTCTTTAAATTTTTTCAAAAGCTGAGTCAATCTATGCATCCAGTATCTTTGCCCACTATATTTACATTTATGCATCATAGGTCTATGCTATGACAAGTGTTATAAACTCATATTCAAGCATAACATATTCAACGGAGGTACAAATACACACAAGAGAGTCTTCCATGATACCATTGCAAAACCTTAAGGACCCTATGTGAGAGAACTATGAATAACAAGAAGCGTACATGACAAATTATTGGCATTCCATAGAAAGGGAAAAAACACGTTAAGAATCACATTCTTTTAATATTTGAACATTGAATAAATTGTATGAACATAAGCTTGAGTTTCATTAAGATCTATATGGGGGACATCACTAAGGTTTTTATATGAAGGATGATATTATTGATTTTGATGCAAGTTGTATCTAAAATCAGCTAGTTTTAGATTGAAATAATCTCCATTCTTTAACACATGCTCAGATGAAGAATAAGATCTTCATGATCAAGAAAAACTGCAGGATATCCTATCTATAATAAAGAAAAACCTATCGGTGAACCGATCTTTGATGAAGAAAATGATGAAGACCTTAAGGATATCAAAGAGGTGGGACACTTGGAGATTTAGGGCATTGAAATCAGAGTAGAGCCGTGGAAGTATGGTCGACTTAGAATTTGTAAATTGTGGCCCTGAATTCAAAGAGTAATGGAATAAGAATAAATGTTGAGAAAGCCTCTAAAGGCCAAAAAATTGAGTTTGGAATCTCTTACATGATTTCCAAAAAATTTAGTTTAAGGATAGTGGTGCTTGAGAGATGTATATTTTAATTTTAGTTTTAGGATTTATTTTTAGGGTTTTTCAGTTTTCTATGGATTATATTTTTTAATATTTTTTATTTTTTATTTATTGCTCATGGGTACTATTTATGTTATTATCCATGCCTACTGTTCATGCCACTATTTACAAGCATTGTTTATATGTTATTTTTCACAAGAATATTTTTAGAATTTAAATATTGTTTAGGGGTATTTTAGAGTCTTTAATGTTTGCTTAGATCTCAAGTTAATTTTATAGTTTAATAGGCTTATAAAAGAAGAGAGACTATGGTCTTTCTCCATTATTATGGATTTTACTTGCTTAAGGTTTATGAAAATGGTGGATTTAATTTCTCACATTTCCTTCCTGTGTCAATTAAGAAATTGGAAATTAAGAATTTGAAATTTAAAATTAAGAATTCAAAAAGGAGAATTTTGAAGAGTGGGAGATTTTGAAAAGTGACTTGGTCCGCAGTTTAAGGTCATGCAACTTGGAGCCCTCTAAGCAGTATAACGTCATGTAGCGATAGACGTGTTAACATCATGCAGAGGACGGGATTACGCAGTTTAGCATCGTGTTGAGGACGGGTTATGCAATGTTAATCCCAATTGACTCCTTGATTGGGCAACTTCATTCCAGGACGGGCATCCGTAGAATGGCCTTTAAGCAGCCTTTCTCAACTCTCGTGGCTTCCTCTTCTTCTTCTTCTTCCCAAAGAAGCTTGTGGGAATTCTCGAAGCAAAGACAAACCTTCAAAAGGCCTTCGGGCCATCACCAACGACATAGTCAAGGAGGCTGGGTACTTCACCGAGGATAGATATTCTAATGAAAATTCCGATGAGACCTTCAATAATCTAAAGGTACAAGTGGCAACCTGACCCAGGTTTGGATATGGGTCCAAAAAATGGATCCAGCGGGTTGTGTTTGGTATCAATAAACCTATTCACCCAAGTCTCACACCCTTGTGATAATTTTTTTAGATATCTGTGTCAAAATTTAATATTGATCATTTGTGGTCCTACTCACATGAGTATGGGAAGGTCTCATAGTGTCAATACTATTTTTATTGTAAAATAAATATATGTTGTTTTGATTGTAAAATAAATATATGTAATAAGCTATTGTACACTTAATCTAAGTTTTTCTTAGACCGATTAATCCAGTTAACCGCCCCGATTAGTCTGGTTTCGGTTCAAACCACTCTCAACCCCCTGTCCAGATTAACCATTCCGATTCGATTTTGCGAACACTGGACTCGACCCATTGAGCTCCCCCACTTCTAGAATCGTAAAGGTCAAGAGCCTTCTTAGGTGTCTACGACAGGAACCCCACGCATTGCACACGATGGAGGCGTCAAGTGCTCGCAACCCTTAACTTTGGGTTTTTAAATCTATTTTCATCCCTATGAAATTAAAGCTCCAAAATAGTATAAATTACAAGGTCAAGATAAACACTTAGAAAATAAACGGTCTAGATGGTGTGTTTCAAGATGTACTGTTTTTAGGATTTAAAATCATTTTTTGTTTCCATATCCATATATCTCGAAGCCGAGTTGACCAATCTTATCACATTTCAACATCAAAAATTCTTTTGTTTAGTTTTTATTTTTTTTTTCCACTACAAACCACGTTTTAATTTTGAGGTACGAAAGAGCTGATTCTAACCTTTCTTTCTTGTCTCCCTCCGCTTCCTATAGCCTCACCTTTAAAATAAGTTCATCATTAGATGGATATTTCAATATCAGATGTTCGACACCACTTTTAGAGTTTTGAGGTACACTTTTCTTCTACAGGATAGGCTGATACCTTTTATATATATATAT